ATTGTTCAATGGTAAATAATTTATATGCTCAATAAAATTTTCTAAATGATCAAAGTTTTGTGGTAAAAATTTACATAGAATTCGCATTTTTAACATAAGATAATCTTTCCAAATTTCACTTTGTTGTTCTCGTATGGTTATTAATTTATTTAAATATTCATTCTGAAAAATGGAATAAAGAAAAACAAAAACAAGCATGTCATTCATAAGAATCTTTCGATTATGGATGATATTCTATTCGCTTACCAAATTTATGCTTAATTGAAAAGTGTTAATTGTTTTAAAGACATCTTTTTCATGAATATAATCTTTAAATTTAATTAATTGATCATTATTTCTTATTGATAGATAACTTCTTTCGCTACGAACATATTCTTTCAAACAATGGTCAATTTGAGCTAAAGTCAAACTTGTCAGTGGACACGATTGACATTGTTCATTTAATTGTAATTCACATTGATTTATTTGTTTTTTCAAATTTTCTAAATAATTCACAAGAAAATCGTGACATAATTTAGTATCATTTGTCGTTTTAACCATTTTATAGAGTTCATCCTAGATTTATTGAAAAAAAAAATTTCTTTTATATGGATAGAACTTTCGAGAAAGCGAAGAAACTCACTGGCCATATTTGCTCCTGTAAACCAATATCTAAATAAGATTGCCATAGATGTTGTTCAATTTCCAGATAATATTGTTGATCGAATAAATTCAATCGTATATATATAAATTTCTGTTCATGTTGTTTCTTCAGTGAATAATTTAATCTTTTACTCAACATATGAAAAAGTTTAGATGATGATTGTGTCAAATATAATGGTCGTCTATAAGGAAAGAAGAAAAAAACAAAACCGAATTAACTTTCCTGTGTTAATGATCGACTCATAGAATAACCAACTGATAATTCCTATTCATTGAATCATTATTGATTATAACGATAGCTGAATCCATGATTATTTTGTTATGATGTTTCTTCGTTTTTTTTGATAATGATTTTACTATTGAGATTGAAGTTGATGATTTCGCTAACGTTTGATTGGTATTGAATTCTTGTAAGGATATAACTCTTTTACGTTTGTTAATACCTGTTGTCGTCATCGGGGTGTGGGTGGGTGTGGGTGTAGGTGTGAGTGTGGGTGTGGGTGTGGGTGTGGGTGTGGGTGTGGGTGTGGGTGTGGGTGTGGGTGTGGGTGTGGGTGTGGGTGTGGGCGGGTGTGGGTGTGTATATACAAATGAATTTCATTTAATAGCACAAGCTAAGCTTACGACCGGTTTCGACCTTGC